TTTTAATAAAGAATGATCAATATTGTTTCAATGTTTTTCTACTTGTTCTTCAAATGATATTCAAATCTATTTCAAACACACCTCAACTGATTTTATCTGCAATTAAATTTGGTGCTAATGCTAAAAAATAACTAAATGAAAAATCGCTTTACCTTTGTTCTTATAATATCATCTGAATGCGTCCGTTTGGTTATATCTTGATAATTTTAATTATTCTGGCTTCAGTTTCTGCTTCTTTTTTACTGATACATCGTCATGTCGTTTTTATTTAAATATAGAATTGACCTAAAATCAAAATTCAAGAGTATAAAATATTTGGCAATTTGCGAAGGATTTTTCTAATTCTTTGGTAAATAAAGAAAAAAAAGAACCGAATTGCAAGCTGAGCTTCATAAGCAAAGTTTATAGATTGATAGCTTTCAAATAAATTTTCCTTTTTTTAAGATTAATTATTTTATATTTTTTTCTGATTAACTCAAAGAATTTATTGAAATCCATATCCTAAATTACCTTTATAATTATCAGGATATGATTTAATATTATAATTATTTATAATTTTTCCAAAAAAGGAATTAAAAAGTTAATTATAAATGTTTTTTTTAATTTTTAATTTTCACTTGTCTGGATAGAAATCGCATTGCAATAATTCATTTTTATACATACATCATTTCATATCAAATCACTATGTTTACCAATAAAAGCATATTTATAACTTTATTAAGAGTTATAGTTATTTTTTATTTTTTTCATCATCTGATAAGGATTCACATTATCCACAAACATCTTTCAAGTATCCTTCAACTGATGAAAGATTCTCAAATTTAATCTTCAAATATTAAATAGTCATAGAAAAAAAATAATAGTTTATATAAGAGATATATCATTAGAGATACTGAATGAGTCTTATTGATACAAATATCTCAGATAATAAAATACATTTACTACTTTATTCATTTATCCAAGTAAATTTTATTGTTTTCTTATTATTTCTTAATTTTTAACTTTAGTATGAATTGAATTTATCATTTTAAAATACTTTCAAGTTCAAAATTCATGAGTAAAATGGTTTAAATTTATTTATATCAAATCTTTCCTTAAATTTTGATCTTCTATTCGCTATTGATGAGATTTAATGATTCTAAATATATATTTTCATTCTGTCTTCTAAATATGAAAATTCTTTTTATATTCATTTTAACTATCCAAATTATTGAGTGACTTAAGATTTTTTTTGATTATTTATTTTCAAATATCTAAATCAATTAGTCAAATAAACTAAGCTAATATTTCTCTCCTATCACTCTAATTTTACAATGCAAGTATGCTATGAAAAAAAAATAATAAATCTTAACTTTATGACATTGAATCTTTTCTATCGAATTTGTGTAAGCAGCAGTAAAGAATGATTTTCAAATTATATGCAAATATATAAATCATTTTGAAATCAGCAAATGCTTGATTTAGTATAGAACAAAATTATCATCAAGCATTTATCGAGATTTCTTTTGTAAAAACATTTATAGCACACTAAAGTTTTATTAGAACATTCATTTACTTTTGAATTTCAAAGCATTAGTAATATACAAATAATTCTCTATATCTAAATTGAGTTATTTGTTTTAAAAAGCTATTATTGAGAGTAAAACATTTAGGCCATCGCCTATAAACTAAATAGATCTGAAGTTCATTATCCTATCATTTGCTTAATATTATTCCTGCTTATTCAAGCTTGACGAGTTATAAATAAAACTCACTTAGTAAAGGAGAAATATAATTTTTAAATTGTTTATTATATTTGTAATAATTTTATTCTAATTTTAATAAATAAAATTTTTTATTTTATTTAATTTACACTAGTCAAGTTATTTCTCTAATCAATGATAAATTTACAATAACAAAAACCAAATTATTACTATGAATATACCTAATACATTCTAGAAAAGCAGATTAAAATAGATTCTTTCAATAAAAAACACATGCTAGTTATAATCTAATGCTTTAATGATAATATACGTGAAAATATTTAAAGTATAAAATTATTTAAGTGTAATTAACTAAATTTAAAAATTAGCATCAAATTGTACTTTAATGAGTTTAAAGAATGAAATAAGAGTCAAAATGAAGTAGGTTAGTTATGGCTTTATCTGTGCATAATCTATACCTATAATATTCAGCTAAACTCAAAAACTTTGTTAGATCCTTCTTTCTATAAAATTGCATTCAATTCAATTTCAACTTCAAGTTAGCAAATCTAATATTAGAAGGGCATGTTAATAGCATGCTATCAAGGAAGAATGTCTAAATTTATATTCATGTGAAATTCCTAGTGTTGATTTATTTTTTATACCAAAAATTTAATTATTAAAAATCTTTGGAATTTTTGGATAAGCTCAATTTTGAAAAAAACATCACGATTTATAAAGCAAGAAAAGAAAATCTTATCAAGCACAGATCAAATCTAGTTAATATTATTTATAGATCAAAAAAAACAGAATTTGTTCAAATAAAAAATTATAAAAAAAATACTAGATTAAATCCAAGAAACAAACTTGCATTATTTCACAAATTTGTGAAATATATTGTAATTCTTTATTAATTTTAATACCAAGCTATAAATTATATATGAAGGGAAAAGAAGCAGATATAGAAGTTCAAGAATTAAATCTCAAATGGACATAATTATATTTTTAAATAAACTTAAGAAATTATATGATGTTCACTGATCAAGGGCCTTTGAATATATAACAATAATATAGAAAATAGATTAACCTTCAAAAATATTATTATCAAAAGAAATACATGGGGTTGATTGAAAAATATCAAATCAAGCTTAATAAATTTTTAGAGTGCCTCAAGTAAAACTCATTACAATTACTACTAATGAAAAAAAAGAATTTTATGAAAAAGCTGGGTAGTTAAAACTATAAGATTTCTAATACATTTATAATGGAATTAAATCTTTTAAATTTAGGGAATAGATGAATAGGTTATTATTTATTTATAAATTAAATTAACGCTGAGTTTATGACTTAATAAAGTTAAAACAGAAAATATTTGATGAATTTGTTAATTTAAGAATTTAAGATTGATAAAAATCTTAAGTTAGTTGATGAATCTCAAATCAAACTCTACTTTTGGAGAGAAATATATAAATATATTAAAAATGTTGACTCCTTGAATGTTTGATTATTATTATTAATACTAACAATTTAATACATAATTATATCAGAGATCAATTGTATATGTGTGATTTCCTCCTTTAAATGATTTTTTACTGGTATTTTTTTCCAATATAAATATGATGTCTAAGTTCCAAATGAAAAATCTTATTATAACAATTAACAATTTTAATTCATGCTGAAAGAAAAAATACTATAAAGGTAAAATTACAGCTATATCCTTACTTGTAGATTTAACATCTTTTAGCTCAGCTAACCGCCTTGCTACTTATGCTGATACCACAAAACATAAAACTTCCTTGCTAAGAATCATAATCAGATATTTAATGAATTTATCCAGAAACTATTAGCAACAGGTAAGCCTACTGAAATTATTATCGTCACTATCATTAGAAAGCTATTACATATAATCTTAGGTGTAGCAAAGCAGTATCAGTACTTTAAGGATGAAATGTGTACTTTTTTGGTTTATATGTAGAAAATTAAGTATAAAAAGAAAAACATTTAGTTTTAGATCATAAGTAATTTTTCAATCTAAGCTCTTGTTAAAAATAATTTTAATTCCTATTTCAATAAGTCCAAATAATTTACAAAACTTTCAATTAAATAGATTCGTTTAGAAATGCCATAAAATAATTAAAAATATTTTTAACAATAATTTGAGATTTTGAACAAAAATAATTTGACGAAAATATAAATAATTATTTAAAAATGTTTCTAATATTTTTACTTAAATAGAAATAATTTGGCAATAATGATATTTTATTTGATCTTCTATGTAATGAAAAATCTTATTTTTCGAAAATCTTATAGTTTCAATTTTCAAAAGGCTAACTAAAAATTCATTCCTATATTTTATTTTAATTAAAAAATGAAAATTCTCAGGTTAAATCTGCTTGTCAGGTTGTAAGAGTAATTTTCTTAAATCAAGATTAATATTCAAATAATGCAGAAAAATGGAATAGAAATAATAAGAAATAAAAAAACCTCAACAAATTAGGTAAGAAATCAATTAAAACTTAAAGATATCCCTTCTTAATTGATAGAATAAAATAATTAAATGATGGTATGCAATTGTTATTAATAAAGATTGTTCAACGTTAGCTTTATTTAAATTAGAGCTTTTGAGAATAAAGAGATGCCGAAATAAGTTTAATTCTTTCTAGGCTTAAATATTTCTTCCTTCAAACAGATTTTATGAGATGTCAACTACATCACTCAATTTATAATCATGATCATACTAATCTCTATGGAATTATTATTCATGGTTAATTAAGATTTTTAAAATTAGCATTTAATTTAATTTACTGTAATGTATTTTATTGTAACTTTATATCTAATTTTACTACTTTACTGGATCTTATTAATTCACATACTTCAAAAATAAATGCTGTTTTATTACTGAGTATTGAATTTTCTAATGATAAATTCACATTGTCTTTTTCTTCAAGTTTTTATTTATTTAAGTTTAATAACACCAACTTGCACCACATATTTAAATTTTATGAATACTTTATTAGTTTTTAATCTTATGATTCAAAACAATAAATATTCTATTAATTTGAAAATAGAATTTAAATACTGAGCTCTTTCAAATGTGGAGTCAACGAATCTTATGACAACTGGATAGGTTTTTTTTCTTAAATAATATTTATGATTTAAGATTTTTTCAAATGTCCGAAATTATTTTTTGAAAATCTTGTTATCAATCAATTTTTATGTGGTTTAGTAAATAAAATTTATGATTTTTTATTTAACATTTGATTACCTTATAGTTAAATTAGGATTCCATTAAGAAGAAGGAATGCATCACCAAGTAATATGATTAGAATTAACAGTCCACCTTCTACACATAACATTCATTAGAAGGATTAAAATAAGAACAATGCAAATATAGTGAGTAATTAATAGCAATTGCATAATAAAACTATAAAGTTGACTTTACCATCTCGAATTAAAACTAAATAAAAAAGAATTTAGAGATAAGATGATCCATTAATGACTTATAGTCCAATCAATTAATTAAGAAAACCACCTACGTATTTTTTTATTAAATATTTCGATGTTGAAATCAGTACTTAAGATTTTAATTCTTAATCTGCCTCAGAAAATAGACTACCAAATTTTAAAGACAAGTCTACAGCTTAAGAAAATAAATTCAAAAAAACAAAAAATGCAATACTAAATATCTTACAAAGGTTTCTATAAAATAAAATCAAAAAAAATAATTCGAAATTATAATCAATATTGATTATAAATTATCCATAATTAATATAGATCTAAATCAAATTAATGATTTTAGTTATCATATCTTCTAAATTCATCAAAAAACTTAAATAATTTTAAATATTATTTTCTCCTAAAGATAAATTACAAAAATCAAAAGTTTATAAATAAGTCTTTTACTTAAAATCTGATTAACTTCCTTAAGAAATTACCATAAATTATAGTCAATTAAGAAAAATTTCATTAAATTGGAAAAGAATTAATTATTAACCTTTAATCTCCAAAAAATTAACAATTACCCTAATATACCTATAGAAATGAAAAAATAATCTCAAAAAATGTTTAATTGTATAAATATTTACATAATCGTTAAAGAAAGATATAGATTTCTAATTCTAAATAGACTGAAAATGAAAAAGCTGTTGTAGTACGTTAAAAAGGGATACAAAGAAAAATTGCAACAAAAAATTGTTTAAAAATTCAAAAAACTCTGTATGATAATCCCTATTAAATTGATGAACCTTATTCTTAAGAATCTATATTATAAACCGACCAACAATCCTACAACCTATCATATTTGAGAATATAAGATTCATAATTTTATGATTAAACCAATTTAAATTTATTAAACATAAAGAAGAGAAAATCTAATTTAAAAATAGTTTAATTGTTTATAAATATTAATAAAACTTAAAATCAAATTAAGTTTTAGAAATAATTCTTAAATTAAACTGAAATTAAAGATTCCTGTAATTAATTTATAAATTAATTTCTTTATCATCCAACCTTTGATTTAGTATCATTTTGTTTTTTCTATTTATAATATTATAAATTTTTGTAATTTAAACTCATTTATCTTAAATAAATAAAGTTTATTCCCTCATTAATTTTAGAATGATAAACTTTTAAATTGAAAAAATCCAAAAATTAAATAAAAAAAATGGTCATTTAAGGTTATTTTTTATAATTTAAAAATCATAAAAGCATTAAAGCTCAAGATAATTTTTATCATTTCTACATAAATGATCATACTTTCTAAATTTACAAATTAACCAACAAGTTCAAATTTTAGAATCATTTTTAATTGTTTTAAAATTAACTCAAAAAACATATTTTTTATATATTTTTAGTGTAAATACATTTTCTTTTTAATATGGATTTAATGCAATAATGCAAAGCTCGGTGAGATTTTTAAGGAAAAAGCCTGATATTGTTAAATATTAAAACAAGATATATTAATATTTCCATTTATATGATATTGGGTTTTTCATCAATATCATAAATGTAAAGGATTCACATATTATGAAACGTGCATTTAGGATACGGCTAGAACGAACGCTAAAAAAATATAAAGAATAAGCATTTATTTGCAAAAACGAGTGTTCCTATCCATTCCAAATATAAGGATACTCTATGTATGAAATAGTGTAGAATTAGGAGAAAAATTAATACTATTAATGGATAATTCTTTCTATAGCGATTGTCTTTCTTGTGTTACTTATCTTGGATTTAGAGATAAATTGAATAATATTCATATCATCTCAATCGTGATTGCAAAAATTGTGCTTTTAATTCTAATTACTTTTTTTGCTGAATAAACTCAAGCTCCTATTATTATATATTATACTGGCATCTCAAACTTCCTTGATTAATCGAAAGCAAGTTACTCATCATAAAACGATTGAACTTTTAGATATCTTGCCTTTTATTCTCTCTGATAGATTCAATTATTTATTCACCTGAGATTAAAGAAGAAGATTAAATTATTGAATAATGATTTAAATTAAGTATACTTTCAAAATTATCAAATATTTAATTTATTTTCTCACATTTTAATTGTTCATGCTTGATTCTTATTAAAAAGCTATTAGATATTAGGAAGCCATTTTGAAATATATCTTTTTACAAAATATCTATTGATAATTTTTAATAGTTAGCCAACAAGATTTATTGATTAGGATATTTTAAAAAAGTATATTAATTATGATTATATATTCAAATTAAATATAAGATTATATTTAAATGTAATTTTACTTTGTTTAACCATATAATCTAATTGTATAAAAACAATAGTTAATTAGTTAATGACAAAAATGAATGTAATCAATCGAACAAAATTATTTCTATGTAAAATAATATAGAAAACGAAAGTTAAAACTTATCAACAAAAAATTATTATTATAAAAAATCTTTCAAAACTTTATTAATTGAGACTGCTTCTTATTTAGAAATCAACCACTAATAGAAAGTGAAAGAAAAGTAACTTCAACAGTTGACTAAAAAATAAATGATTTTTGATATCGGATGTTTTTATGATTTAGAGATGAAAAAATGGTTTTATATTGGTTTGGGACATACCAAAAGCCCCTTCTAAATTAATTCCTCTTCATAATTATCATAAAATTTTAATTCTTTGCATTCAAAAAAAATTAAGAATATTTGCATAATTCATAGAAGAATAATGCTAATTAAATGGATGAAAATATCTTCAAGGAAGAAAAGTGATTGAATTTTCTTAATAAAAGTATAATGAATAATAATATATATTAATTATTGAAAAAATAATTTTAATCTAAAGCAGTATCAAATGACAATAAACAATTAGATTTAAAATTTTATTTCCATTTCAATTAAAAGTGAGGGGTCTGATGGATAAAGATTTTTTAAAATTATTGTTTTTAGTGTTATATTAGTCTATCATTTAGTTTTATACCTAAAATATGAATAAGGTAATTATATTCTACGAAAATAATAAAATAAAAATAGAAAATTTATCTTACTTGTAAACATATATAGATTTTTTAATGTGATTAATTAAATAAAAATATATATAATATCAGGCATCTAAGGAAATATTTAGACTCATGATATGTCATGAGGGCCACTGCGAAGTGAAAAGTTATTATTAATTAATTCATATTTTCTTTCTTTTTAATCTAACAAATTATATAATTAAATAAATATGAGATTTTAGTATGAAGTGTTTATCAATAATAAAAATATTGTATTTTTAGGGTGCTAAGTTAACTTTAATAAGTGTTATTTGAAAATACCTATAATTTATTATCTATTATTGTTATAAATTTTGTTAAGATAAGAATATTAGGAAATGTAAATTTTAATTAAGGTTATTTTGAAAATACAATTTATTTATTTTATATTAATATAACTAAAAAAAACAGCTAATAAATTAGAATGAGAATTGAGTATTTTATAATTGAGAATAACAATATAATTTATTGTGTGTACTTAATATTTCAAGCAACATTCAAATTAGATCGTGGTGGTTATTATGGTTAGACTTATTATTGTGGTGGTTGATATTATGGATATGATGGTACGACTCTTGATGAGATAATTGGGGCAACATATTATGATGCTTATGTCACTGATTAAACAACAATGACAGGTAATTAAACAATAGATTGGGGTAAAACTTATTGAACAACTGATTTTTAGACAACTTGTTATACTATAGGTTGAACTTATTGCTAAAATTAATTAAACTTATTTTTATACATGGATAATTTATTTTTCAACTGAATAGTATTCTACTCTTTCTTAATACAGATAGTTTTAATTATAAGAATAAAATGAATTATACAAGTTAATGAAGTTTTAGATTAAAATTTAATAACAATATAAAAGTATTCAAATTTGGTAAATAATTATATACCTGTGTATTTTTCTTAGAAGTCTTATGTCTAATATTCAACTGCATAATAATTTGTAGGCATATTAAACAACTTCTTAATCTTCATATTCCATAACAGCTTTTTGCTATGGAATTATTCGATTCTTGATTCTCCTTTATTAGTTGCCTTAAATTACAAATAGCACTAAAACATAAGTAATGAATTAAATCTATTGATCTTTCAAACGATAAAATGATTTTATATCAAAATAATATATATATGTGTTGTTATCCGTATTACAGTTTGTGAAAATATATATTTATACTTATATTTTTATTAAATATTAAAAAAATTGGCCAGATCAGCCACTCTCACTTTTAAAACATTCGTTAAAACTCAAGTTGACGAAGGGATTTGAAGTTTGAAATCAAAATGTATATTTTGAGATCAAAATTTATATTTCCATCACCCTTAATTAAATTTGTATTAAAAAATTTTAAATTTAATTCGAAAAAATCATATATATTATTTTAATATAAAATCAGATTTTTACTTATTATATTAGAAATCTTATTGAAAGGTTTCATTTATACATGAAATCTTAATAGATCATTAATATAATATGAGATATTAAACAAGAAAATAACATAGGAGCAAATTAATGATAAGGTATTTGTTTTGATGTTTAAATAATTAAATAAGAT